TCTTTGCGCTACTCTATGTGGGAAACAGCAAAGCACATTATCCGTCATACTGCATATTTTTGCATGAATAGCTTGTACTCATCCTCACCATTCATTCAATCCATACATTACGTAGTATTTTTTTTTTCCGAAGAATAAAAATCTATGAAACACAGAAATCATAGAAAACACAGAATCAAAAGTCTAAACTGTATTGGGCTTTTGGATGGTCGTATAAAGTGGTACACGTGGAACGGTACAATACCAATCTCCTTAAATGGTCGTTTCCTCTCCTTTTTAGTTTAATTTTAGTCTTATATTACAGTACGTATTAGTTTTATATTATTAAGTTTATTATTTCAATTTTACAATATTAATTTTATTATCAATTTTGTAATATTAAGTTTATCAAGTTCAAGTTTATTACTGTATTAACTGTTATTAAGTTATGCTGTATGCAAATTGTTTATTTATTTATACGTATCGTCGTTGTTTATTCGTTTTGTTTATTATTAAAAAATACGTGTGTATGTAACTTGTTCTTTGCAACTTCAAACTTTACAATCGATTACCTGTTACCGATTCATTTATTTATTTATTTATGCTTATGCTTGTATTCTGCTATTGCTGTATTATTTGCTGTATTGCCGCTGTATTGCCGCTGTATTGCTGTTCTACGATTCTACACACACAAGTACATACGTATCAGTATCTGGTATGTACCTCTTTTTTTTTTTCTTATTCGAATCACTAATCATAAGCATCATAATATTATAAACAATCATATGTGATATCATTCATGCCTTTTCCCGCAAAGTTCACGATCCTTTCTTAACCATCTGAATTTAAAACCAAGGTAATTATTGGTAATTATTGGTAATTATTGGTAATTATTCATAATTATTCGTTTTTACTATCAAAAAACATCGTGATACTTTTCACGCAGTATAAATTGTTACATTAATTTCCATTAATTTTCACCAATTTCGTTAATTTCGTTAATTTCACTAATTCTGTAAATTTCACTAATTTCATCCACATGAATTTGTAATTTGTTATGTACAACTCGATCATTTCTTGTTGATTTTACCCGAGTACCGTTACCGTTACCGTTACCTTAACGTTAAATCTTCTACCTAATATATTAATACTTAATATATTAGTGCTTAATATATTAGTGCTTAATATATTAGTACTTAATATATTAGTACTTAATATATTAGTATTTATTATACGTATTTCTATTATTTTACATTCATTTTGCATTCATTTTACATATTTTCTATTTTATTATTACTATTTACTACTACTACGTACGTACGTACTACCGCTGCTATGTATTATATTACTTAAATATTCTATATACTATCGCTATTACATTTTTGTTATTACACTTTTACTATAACTGCTACTGCTTGCTGCGACTATCATTACATATTTAATTTCAATTACGTATTTATATTATTTTTAAAATTATCTGGTCATCATGTAGTCACTATTTATACCCATGTAGTTAATTTTATTTAAACTCGAATAATGAACCTTTTTTCTCGAAGCAACCATAAAAAAAATAAAAAAATAAAAAAATAAAACTTGAAACTCCCGCTCTTTGCATAATTACGTTAGTTTTTTTTTTTTTTTGTTGTTGATTTCAGGATTTTCTACGTACTTGCTTTGTACCGAATTTGTATTTGTTGTAACACATTTCTTTTAAACTTTATAACTTACACTATTATAAATTAAAAAAATTATAAATACTTTTCTTTTTTTTGAATGGTATCATTTTCTTGCAAGTTGTCTTTTCGTATATCTTTGCTGTAAGGATAAACTTGCGATTTTCTACTTTTTTATCCTTTGGCGTTTCCATTCTTTTCCTCTTTTATTCTTCTCTTTTTTTTTTTTTTTTCTTTTGGTTTCCTCCTTTCATCGTCTCGTTTCATTCAACCTTTACCATCATTATTTTTTTTTTTTAAAAGAAAAAAAAAATCTTTAAAAAAAAAAAAAATTCCTTCACCAAATCATTATATCGCTATTGGGTCTGATTTTGTTTTCATTTGATAGATTTTATAAAAAATTTTTTCCTCCTTCTTTCAAAGAAAAAAAAAAAAAAATTTTTTTTTTTTACTTTACCCTTATAATGTCTATATATGCTCCCGACCACACTGCAACGTCGACCTCAGATGATGATAATCAAATAGCTATAATGGAGTTGACCGTTTCTCGGGTTCGAACTGCCTTATTTCAACCTTTGAGAAGTGATGATTTTAATGAACGTGCAAAACAATTGGATAAAATTATCGATGTTGTTAAAAATTGGGCTTGTTCTGATTATGATGTTAATAATATTGATATTTCCTCTGAAAATCAAGAACTTTCTCCTCCTCTTAATACGATTGATTCTTCTAAAAGGTCTTCAATATCTGACGGTAGTATTCCGGTAAATCATACTGCTTCTTTAAATTCTTCTCCCATATTCACTGGTACCTCTACACCCATCGTCTTTTATCAAAAATATATTATATATATATATATATAAAGAAGTATAACAAAAAAA